CCATGAGGATTTCGATGTCACCCAAGTGGTGTGTTGTCCATTACTGTTTGTAGTCGTCTGTAAAAATCTTCCTTTCTCTCTTGTTCCGCGTTGTTTGTAACACAGTGAGTAGCACTTGATAATTGTGACCTTCCTCCATACCTTCCTTCCTTTTGAATTGAATCTTGTTGTCATCACCCTGAAGGAGGAGATTGGTTCCCACTGGATTAGGACTCTGGCTGCCACTGTCAACATCATGACAGTCACTCACCCCCTCATAGTGCTCGTGGTTGTCGTCTGGGTGACCAGACCGGAGTAAATTATTGACTTGCTGTCGAGTTAACAATTTCGATAGTCCACATACATTCCACCTACTCTCTTTCAGATTCCTAGAACTTCCATACTGTATTTTCTAATTTCTTTGGCAACTTGTGCAGTCTTCCTAGTCCCATATATTGTTCGAACATTCCATGTCCCAAAGCTTATTTTTGTTTCTTCTTCGAAAGAATGCACCTTAGCTGACCGGCTTCGTGTAGGCTTCCCCCCCCCCTCCAACTCGCGTCATTTCATCTCTCCGACTCCAGAGATGACTACATTTTTTTCTTGTGCCTTGAATTTTGCCGACAGTCCCGCGGCCAACCTTCCCTCTATTCCCATGTTTAGGACCAGCCAGAAAACTAGCAAACTAGACAAGGTTATAAACCTACTTAATAGTCTGTAAATAAACCGCAAATAATATAACCGGAATTATTGTTACACATAATATTCTCCCATAAACCTTTTAGTTTTTTTTAGGTTTTATTATTTTGCCTACTTCAAGGATCGATTTACTTATGAATGGAGATAAATTGTCGCAATAATATGTATAATATATATAATTAATATGGTTTGGAATAAAGTGATTATTATTATTATCCCTGTTACATCTGTGCACTACAGTAGTAAGCCATTTTACTCCTATTTGCTTGTTCCCACCTAACCTGGTTTACTCCACTGTCTCACCATATCTTTTGATATCGTTTCTCCATGTGGTTGTAAATTTCAAGGGACTCAACGGTTACCTAGGCTATGAGTTGCACATTCACTCACAACCTCAACTTGGAAGCATTTTAATACTATTGCATAGGATAATCCCAACGAAAATTTCCCCCATATTTGACTGGCTTCGCAAATTAACTGAAACGCCTGCTGGTGAGACATACAGTTACTGTTTTTTTTAGGAGGAAATTACTATTTAAATACTCGTAACTTATTACATAAACTGGCAGGTTAAAGTATTCTTTTCATATATTCAGTTAGTCAGTAGCATTCCCTTTTTACGATATACAACACATGTTAATTGCTGATCAAATTCTACCGATCAAGTTCACAACCACTGCCATTGTGATGCAGTTGCAATTTATGCTATGAATGAGAACGGTTGGAGGCCTTAATTCTCATTCGTCAGGAAGGAATAGTCAACCAACAGGATCATGTCATCACTAAGGACTAGACGGCATACTATTTCCCACTTCACCATGACCAATCGATGTATTCAATGCAGTCCTATAAGTCAGTCGTATAATGAATAGCTGTTATAATGTCTCTAACTGCAATGCCGGGCAACACGGATTTGAATACCTGAGAGAACGCGTAGTTAACAAACCAAACGAAGATAGGAATTTATATTCAAGACGATAGAATCTTCAATAGGTGCGAAAGACTCTGTAGTATATCAGCATTTTCAATCATTAGAACTATATCGTCCAAGAGCATCCATCAGCACTGCTACTTCCTTCTTATTAGTAAACTTTAATAGAAATACAAAGTGGATTTCACTGATGGACACACATCAACACATAGACTTTCTGATAACCTATATGACATACTCTAAGTTGACATATGTTCGATTGTATATAGGCTTCAGGACTCTTTCGCTGTCAGCAGAATATTACCATAAGATCTCTGGATATAAAGAGTTCAAAGCTACATTCAGGCCGATGAATTCAGATAGTATCAACACATGGTATGCATAAGTGGTTAGTACACCCACAATCAAAACCCCAAAGGCTTATCCATTTTTATTCGATAACCATGGGTTCATTTAAATTTGGAATTCCTTTTGGGCATATCAGAACCACTGTACAGGCGAATGAGACCTACCTGAGATCGCACATCCATGAGTAGAGTGAACAAAATGATCGATAGACACAACTGTCCGATAGGTCACCTTATCATTAGCTCCTTGTGCATGAGTCTTCGATATAAGTCATCCCTCAAATAATTCCTGGTACACCTTCCAATGATGCTAACATAAGTGGATGTTGATTCGATATTGCACATATTCTAGTAAATGGATCTAGTCAGTATGATATTTCAAGTGAACTTATCTGATATACACTTATACATTACGAATGCTGTACTCCTACACTCAGTCCCAGCCGGTAACTACTACCTTGCCGCAGTGGTCGGGCTAGCATACCGCGGTGACCCAACAAGCTAAAGTGGATGGAACTTATTTCCCTGCAGGTCCTACCATAGAGGTTAGGACTAAAAGCAATTACCATGGGATCCAGAATCCAATCGGATTAAATGGCGTAAGAACCTGTATTAATCACCAGCAATCATGGGAAAGTAGCTGCTCCGCTGCCTTGTGGACGGAACTTCAAGTCAAAATCTCAGGGGTGGTCCCTTCAGAAAACCACCTGCTTCGGCCTGGGCATCCGCGCAGTATCTCAGCCCTCACACTAACACTAAATACACTTAGTACCACTTAAGCAGACAGAGTTAAAGTTACCATCCAAAAGGAACCAGTGTAGAAGTGGACGACGTTCACCAGTACCTAAGTTCGCCTCCCTATGAATGACCTGACGGGACGGAGAATAGATAGATCCTTTTGAAATGCTTATGTGAACACACTTGCATGGCTTCTACTAGGCAAATTTCATTCACTAACTCCACGCGGCCTGGGGTATTCTCACAAAAGTGAATAGGCTAATGAGAATATTCGGTGCTTTCTACCAGATTGGTGGACACGTAAGTCAAACTAGGGGAGGTGGCAAACACTGATTCTAAGCCTGTGGTTAACACTGACTCCAAAAATTCAACATGAGCGAATGGACAACAGAACGCAGATGTTGGTGATACTCCACTTCTATGTGGATCAAACATCAGGTCAGATGCTCCGTGATCAGTGCTCATGACAACCACTTGATTCATCAGGAGAACAGGGGAAAGGTCTGTGTCAGATCCTTGGAACATGTATAAAAGCGCCTTCAATTAAAGGAACCGAAGAGTTTGATATCGTTAATCGCCAAACATCTAAAACACATAGGACACCCAGTAAACACATTAGGAGCATTCGAACAATTAACAGACAAAACAGCGCAAGTCTTCTTCGGTTTGCTGAAACTAGCACGATAGGACAAGTGAAACCTGACCTGCATTCAAATGAAAAATCTGTCGTGGGACTTCAATTAACTAGGCATACATCATCTTAGTAACTCCTTGTCTTTTTATTTCATCATTTCGTCTCAACACACACATTTTTCACTTGACTTTCGTATTAGACTTAGATTTTAACCCTACTCACTGCATTATATCAACACCTTTTCGTTCGACTTAGAACACGCCAAATTTTGATTTTCCAATCTTATGTGTTGTCTTGCCGTTGACTACGCAATGATCACTGACTTAGCACCACCTTAACAACAAAATTGTTCACCTTTTACGAGAATCTTCAGCTAGCATCAGCTTCCACAACCATTCAGTTTCCAAAAAGAGGAATGGCTGTCAGACCATGACGTAGCAACGTGGGATGAAGAGTAGTTAAGTTAGCATCTAGTAGTGCATCACAACTCCTTACGACTAAGTCCGCGAGAGATAATCTGAACCAGTGCCTACAAGCGTTATGAGAAATGACACATAATCGTAGTGGAGTGCATGTTATAGTTTCCTCTGTTACTAAATGTAACACGAAATGATGAACGCACTTCAAATGCTGTTGACTAGTTGTCTATCTAATTTTTTATGTTCTCTTTCCTCAACTTACTCCGGTAGTTTCCCACTGGGTTTTATTGTGTGGCGCATCTCTTGGTATATCCATACTGCATCAGGTTTCTCTTCAGTATTAAATAATAGGTTCCCCGGGTTATTTCTACACATATAAAGTTATAACCCGAATTAACTGATGTAAATATTGTGGACCAAGTGAACAAAATATGAAATACAAACAGTTCACGATACCAAAGCTGATAAATCCAACACTGAAAGCTCAGACATGTAGTTCGGTGTGCAATCTGAAAACACATCAACATGAGTGGGAACTGCAAGAGACAGTTAGTCACGTTCAAAGAATATTAACGAGTTTGATCACGGATTGGTAATATTTAGAGAGGTATTGAAATCCACCAACAGGTATACTGGACAGCTAATTCGCCCTAGTTTGGCACTCATCAGTAGCTCGCACCCACCATCGGGGTCCAAACCCAAAACCTCCTAGTTACCCAACTCAATGGCCAACCCATGAATTCTAACTTCCACCAATTTGTGATATTAGCGCGACATCTGCCAGTGTTAATAGCTAGTATTTGTCCTCACTCCCGACCGAGTGGACTACGCTGACCATGACTTCTCACTAGGACTCCAGGCAATTTCGTCCTGCACCCAGTCACCAGCGGGCATCAGATTCATTTTCAAGAGTTTGTTTTAAGTTTGACCACATATTGATATCAGTTATTTTTAACGACTTGGACATCATATACTAACAAACAGATGGCAGTACCGGTTGGAATTCTGCTTATTCGAGTAAAATATTGTAATCCCGTAAAGACCACCAGCAGTAGAGATAACTTTATACACCCATTTAAGAGCACCGCAATTTTTCTAGTAAAGACGCCTCTTCGACGCACTGCAGTAAACAAAATTGGATTCACATCCCAAGCCAATGGCACGCATTTTCACACAATTAATATCCAAATAATGCAAACCTGCTACTGTTTGTAACACACATGTCATTTAGCGCTACACTAGAACGAAAGAAATGCTTAGTGACGACAACTGTGATAGCGAATTAAAACTAAATGACCACAGTAAAATAAAAAGTAAGCTGCTGTCTAACAATAATTCCGTTCCACTAAAAAATCTACGCACCACTACTTTTAAGGCAAGTCCCAAATAGCCAACTAGAAGGAAACAGAAATCAATCCAAAAAAGGGAAAGTATTCTTCAAGAATATTTACATCTGTAAAGAGATCACATTTCCAAATAATACAAATCATCATTCTTATTTACAATAATGAATACACAAGTATTCATGATTTTGAGCAAAAACTACACTTCACTGTGGTGGAGGCGGTTGTTGTTGTTGCTGTTGTTTATTTGACTCCGTGTTAGCAGACATACGCTCTGTGATAAAAGGATGTTGTAAGGCTTCGTTCAAGGAAATACGGCGTGTAGGATCAAGCATTAGCGTTCTTTCTAACAGATCACGAAATTGTGTTACCTTTCGGAGAATTGGTTCACTTAACTTCGACTGGCCAACAAGATCTTTCATTAAATCTCTTGTAGGCTGTAAATTGCGAATCACTGTCGTTTTATCCTATGTGGAAAAAAACATTAACAATAAGCAAAGAAAGTGTTGTTATTCAACTTTTTTATTTAGTTGTCATTATCTATACACATACAGAAAAAAAACTATGATGTGCACACGCATCATACCTCAAAAAGGCTGCATACTTCGGCTGATTTTCATCCTATTGTGCCAACTGATCTGGTTGTCATTGTCTCATATAATCGTTAGAGAATAATAATGATACCATCCTGATGAATACTGCTACCCAGTCGTTGTGAGCAATTTCCAAATACATCTGAACTACAGTTCAAGTGTATGTCTATTCAGTATACTTTTTATTACTGAATATCAACAAATAGTTGCGTAAAAAACAAGCAGTTTTTAAAATATGACTTCTTTCAAGCAAAAGAAAGTTACACACTCACACAGAGACATCCAGTGGGTGGCGACACGGGCCACAATAGTGAGTATATCTGTAGACACCGTTAACTTTCATCAAAATTCTACTACCTTGATGCATCACAGTCAGGGAACTGCATTTCCTAAACGCCATAAATGACTCAGATCTGAAGAATTCCCTCATGTGCGACTGAGGCGGTTGGGACTCCACTCTACAAAGCAAAGTCATGTTGCTGATGTGCTGTACATCGAAAGTTTGCAAAGACTCTTGATCATATCAGACGCGATACACTTACGCTTTCTGGTTAATCAGCATCAGTTAACGAGGACCAAAGATATACTATTACACAACTTGACCTTACGAACCATCGTCCTGTTTGCAGTTAGCTACTCGGAAAAACGAAACCCTGTCTACATCCCTTTGAAACATCATATACTTTTAAAGCACTGGATAGAGTACAGAATAACCCAGTGTCTCAATCATATGGTTTTATATAACCAATTGACACCGGCTTATTTTGGAAGGCTTACACAGAGGAAACACATGACAATCAAGCATTTCGGAATATCTGATGATAAAGACTTTGGAGAGACAAACTGACTCGTCAAGAAAGTGCGGAAAGTAAAATTTCATATTACTTTGTAAGACTGAAGTGGACTACAGGGGAAGTTATGCGGATAGAGAGCTCTTCGCTTTCCGTGTCAAAGTTAATCATTAGTCTGTGGATGTTGTTCAAACTAAGTCACTCACTCACTAGGACCTATCTCTTCAAGTAGGATGAAATACACGATCCAAGTACTGGTAAATATCCCATCCCCACCCTAATATATGACCAATGAAAGTTTGTAATTTGTAGGATTACACTATCAAAGTTAACAACTACCACCTACCCGAATAATTTCACAAACCAAATCGATTTGTAGTGTGTTGTAGCGATTTTCAAATCTCACCTTGATTTCACTATTCGATAAATGATGATACGCGTCCCTGAAGGAAAGAGTAACTACCATCACATTACCCACGAAATGATAAATACATCTGGAATCTGCTGGTTTTAGCGTCTTACTAAAAAACAACATACAGGTTAAATATCAAAGCGCACTTAGTTTTAGTTGAATCACTAACCATAGACTTGAGATGATAAGTATGGTAAGTTTATTACGCAAAGTAACTCTACTTAATCACAAAATGGTGGAAACAGTTCCAGCAATCTAAATAAAAGCGGTGTCTGTGTGTAACTAAAGGGAATACAATTTTGATATCTGATCGTCAGTGTTTCACCAACAGATTGTAAAATTATCAGCATATTACACAGGAAGAAGTTCAGTATTTTCGAATCGGTCCAGTGTTTAGAGAGAATAAAATATCCCAATCTAGCTATGAATTAAGTAATGCCTGTTTAACTGCCACCGGAAATGTAGAAGATATGAAGAACGCCTTGAGTTGGCCTTTGAAAAAACATTACACGACCTACCGCTGCCGGATACTATCAAAAATGACTAAAATTTTAGTATCTGTTACCGATCTCTTACACGAAACAGTGATGAGTACATTGCATGTGACATCCTTTAGATCACAGCGGTCATTCCCAATTATCTTGTTTATCTCTTCACCTGCTACCACGTACCGTATAAGGATGTGAGAACACAAATGGCAAGCATCATGGTGGTGAATAGCCGAATACCTGCACTCGTAATCTATATCTTGTGTTTCAAAAAAAAAGAAAAAACACGAAAACCAGATATCAACAGAGATCACTTGAAGGTTTTGTTGCACACCTATTCAAGTCTTACTTAACCTTATGGAATAGCCTAAGGAGAGTTGGTCAGATTTATAACGGTGTAGCAACATATGAGAATTTTTCTGACAGCCGTAAAGTATCCGGGAAAACGCCAAGTTTAGTGAAATGTGTTGAATGGGATTCAGTAATCAGTTCGCATGTGTCACAGTTATTTCAATCACCATCCACCAATCAAACCACATGAATCCCTTGGGAAAAAATATTCTAAAACCGCTTTGATCTTTCAAGAAGCGAGGTCTTAATAAATGGAACTCTAGTACCTATTTTTGAAAGTGTTAGAAGTAATATGACTAAGAAACATATAATAAAAATTAAATTTAAACTTAAATACATATACATATGTTCCTAAGAAATTAGCAAACCTTTTGTGTTACTTTATCCACTTCATGATGAATAAAATTGCACTGTTCATCAAAATGTTGAGTACGAAACATTCCACGACGAATTACACGACCTGGCATACGTCCTTTGACCTCCATCATCAAGCGTAACATTTCATTATTAGTCTTCCCAGGGAACATAATTTTCCCAGTGTGTAATTCAAATAGCGTTACACTTGTGGACCATAAATCCACATTATAGTCATAGGGAACACCTAAAACTAGGAAAGGTTAATAGCAAAAGCAAACAAAGATTTTAACAGGAAGTTTTTGCCAAAGCATTATTCGTGTTAAGATTAAGAAATGCATGAGGCCGAGTTTAATCACAACTCAGCCACAATATTGAAGCAACCTACTGGAAATTGAAGATTACAACCCTATTTTATAAACACCTCTGGAAAGTGATTACATGTAGTAAAAAGAGCAGTACTATCACCAATCCTTGACACTGATGTGATAGTGAGAAGATGAATTAGCCATAAATGTTGCCACTTTCATCAAAATTAAAGCAAATTGAAAATATTTAAACAGTGTGCTTATACATAAATGAAAAAATCGAGATGAGTGAGTATAGTCGACAAAAAGAACAAAGAATATGAATATAACAGTTAAAGAGACTGGAAATATTCAGAACATATTCCTTGTAGTTCAATCATCTGCAATCGATTTACCGTGACCAGATAAAATTATATGCACATCATATGTTTCGAGACACTTCCTGACAAGTCTATCATCAGTTATCTGAAGTGACTGAAAATCTAGCTTTTCTAAGTAAAAATCACATTAATATAACTTCGAAATAGAATCTGCACAATGCATTAATTGTCAGACAAGTATCTTCAGTGGTCTGCACAGGGAAGTTGTCGACTTCGCTTTCTAGTGTGACGCATATTTCGAATACATGTGAATGTATAAATACTAATAACACTACAGCCACAAGATAACTAAGTATTAAACAGAACCCATAACAGTTAGCTTAAGCCAAGTAGGGAGGTGTAGACTGCCTATAACTGGTTGGGACACTCGAGATGATGGTAAGAACCAATGAAGGCTGGAGACATTGCTGGTGATGTGGCTCGAAATGTGAGTTCTCAGTGATGGCGAAGATGCATTAACTCTTTATGATTTTTCATATTCAACAAAACTCTTTTGTTCTTCCATATTACCACTACTTTTCCATCACACCTGTTTATTAATATATATATATATATATATATATATATATATATGAATATCCCTTTACTGTCACCCCTTGCTCTATGTGCTACATGGATTGTGACAATTCGAACTGCTGCAATTCTGTGCAAAGTTCTCTGCTGAAACCAGTCAGTCAGTCAAACAAGAACCAAGGGTAAGAGTCCGTGTAAAAAACAAGGAACACTCTGGTGGAGTTGTAGCTTAAATTCTGAACTGGTTACCACAGAATTTACTTTACAGTTTTTTGTTAACTGGATAAGCTGCTATGTGCCACACATAATCTAACCTAAATACTACTTGCAAACTTGACTGCTGAGTTGTAATCAATATACAACTGCACACCTTCAACTGGAAAGTAAACTGCCTACACATCGGAAGGCTGATATTAAATTAGGACACTACATATAAAACAACAACAATATACTGATCGTGAGAAGTCCCAACAACTAGAATCATCAAAGATACCAAGCAAATTTAAGACAATATACATATATAAACTAAGAATCTTCATGGTGACCACATAAAATAAAATTTTTTTTAATAACAAACAAAAAACGTAAAATTCACTAGGAGCGCATAAGAAAGATTACCCTGACTAAAGGTAGCAAGAATACAATCTCACCAGAGCTTCGACACAATACTCCATATATCTGGACCACGATTATTGGATAGAGAGTTCATGGTCTGATCCGTATTGAATAATATTATCAAAAAAAGTAAGTAGAAGAAGATCAGTTTCATGAAAAGACAACGAAAAAAAAATTTTAATATTAAACTAGCATAATATTTTTTTCATTAAATTTAATTTACACAATTAGAAGCTTACTTATTTCTGGAGCACGATAAAAACGTGAAACAAGATAAGGTGTAATATCATTATCCTGTACAGTAGACGCTGATCCAAAATCAGATAACTTAAGCAGTATTTTGCTTTCATTTACAAGTATATTATCAGGTTTGATATCTGCATGTAAAATACCACACTTGCGCATTAATTTTAAAGCTAACAAAAGCTGTTGTGTATACGAGCGTATGGCAGCAATATGCAGCCCAATATTGCGTCCATACTTTTTTAATACTTCACGTAGATTTAAACTCATCAACTCGAATACCATGCACAAATGATTTTTATGAAAGAAGTGACGATAAAGTCGTAAACAATGGAAACGATCGTGTGGATCAGCATCATTGAGCTTTTTCAGTACTTCTAATTCTTTTAGACCAGATTTGTGCCTATAAACAAAAATGAATTCAAGAGGAATTGAGTAAAACAACATAATTATTAGCATATCACTAAATAAAATTATCAAGTAAAAGCAACACTAAGTACATAAAAGACGTCTGTGGTGCAGCGATAGAATGCTCGCTGACCAGGCGTGTGGTCCAGGGTTCGATACCCGGCCAACACACTTCGAAACCTCGCTTAGCTGGTAATAAGTCCGGCAGAGGCAAGGTTGAGCATGAGGCTAGCAACCCCACTCCGTAAAAACAAAATAAAACCACTGCACTATGTAACTTCCAAACTCAAGCTTGAAGCCCTGTGCTTCATTCGGAACGCAAAGGATATAAGTAGTAATAATAATAATAATAAAGTATGTAAAAACATCACAAATGTCATAGAATAAAACTTTTAAATAATAAAATGAATTATTGTAACTTACATCACATCGTTGTTTCTTATTATCTTAACTGCAACCTCTAAATTACCACGAGCGCTGTCTCTGGCTCTAACAACGTTTGAAAACACTCCATGTCCTGTATATCCATAAACAGTATATCGTTTGTCCAAAACCTCACCAATACGAACACCTAAACGAGGGAAATCACTTCAAAAATCTTATCGAATACAATTAAACAATGGATGCACTCAGAAAGGTATACCCATCATACATACATACATACATACATACATACAGATACACAAACTCTAACATATGATGGATTCTGATATAGAGTCCAAACGTTCACAATCATCCAACACCAACCTATAACACTAGAATTCGGAGTCCGTCAAATGTATCATGGTAGTGTAAGTAAAGTGCAAAGGACCCAAAAGAAGATAAGAAACTTACGGTAATATCCCTCTGCATCATCCCAGTTGTCTGTAAGAGAGTGATTTTCAGAAGCCATAGCGCCTATTGCCATTGTGCCTGGTGCATGATGTAACTCCACCTCAAATTCCTCAGCAAACATATCAAACGCCGTGGTTTTGGAATTACAATTATTCATATGTGATTCAGTTTTTCTTTTATCTTGAAGAAGTGCCATTGCTGCAGGAGCTTGTAAACCTGATAAACGTCCACTTGGTGAATATGACTGATCTGAGTTTAAAGAAATTGGTCAAAATGAGACAATATTATATATATACATATATATAAAGTCAAAACTAATATAATTTTTACCTAAATAAGTTACCTACCTGAATTATTTGTTGGAGCTGCTTTAATGCACTCTAACTTGGCTTGCACAAAACTCTCGAAGTCAAAGTCTTCTGTGTCATCAAACGTACACATATCTGTTAGACTGTCAACCTGATTTATTTCAGAATTTGGCTTTTCCGCATCTTTAGTAACAGAAGCAACTTCATTTTGGTTTTCCGTCTCTAACTTCTTTAGTGAAAAAAAAAGTAATAAGGAACGTTATATTTATTTTTTTAATACTAACTTCCAATAGCTTTTGTCGTTCTAAGCGTCTTCGTTTAATAATATCCTCCTCATTTTCTTCATTTTCAACTAGCGACGAAGATTTATCTCTACACAGAATTAAAAGGAATTTCGCAACTTACTCATGGTCAGACACTGACTTACGACTACTCTTATCACGTTTTGAAGACTTGCGAGATTTTTTCTTATGATGAGATCGTTTATGTTCATGACTAGTTTCACCACTAGAACTACGATGCTTGGACTTTTTGTGACGTCGACTGTGATCATCTTGTTCAGTGTATGATCTTGGATATCTATCTTGATAATTATTACCATCGTATTTATCTACATATCCCGAATAGTGGTTATTGGATTCCCGATAGTAGAAATTAGAATCATAGTTGTAATCTGACTCATCTCGATGAGAGCGGCGTTTTCGATGTCTGTCATCGCGATTGTTTTTTATAGACAGCATTGATAGCCTGAAAAAGATTATCTACCTGATGAGTATAAAAATTATCAGGAGAAATATTACTGGTGAACTAACTTCCAGGAGAGTATAAAATACAATTGTCTATCATGAACAACATTTTTTACTAAATAATGGGCCCCTACATGACATAGCCGAAGTATTAAAACGAATATATCAGTTGTGTTCTAGGTTAACGACGCTTATCAATTATGGTTGTTAAACAGCACACTTGTTAACCCAACAATTTAATCTTTAATACAGACTGAAGTATAAAGTCTGGAAAAAAACTTCCAAACTGATGTATGACTCCAATTTATAAAAATGCTGGTAAAGAATCTTAACCATAAGTGCAGTGACAACAGAACCAAAGCCCGTAGATTAGACATTAAGATTTAATTACAACGGAGCATACTGAGCTCTTCGTAATACAACAGCGACACTATATAATTTAAAGGCGATCAAGCATGTTTTGCCTACATTATTATTAATGACCATTGAAGATTAAACAATGAACAGCCGGAATTCACCTGCAGAAACAAATTGATCAGCTTGCTGAGCCGAGAGTAAGGGGAAAAGAGATAAGCTTATAAAAATAATACGTAGTATTCTGTAGCATTAAATTAGAACAGACACAGAGAAACTAGTGAATAAATACTAAAATTGATGAACACAGACTTATCTAAAGATGTCACTTTTATATTAGCATTTGAGAAGAATTTGCTCGTCAGTGATTAACATCTTACTTTCTGGTTTACTGCAGACGAAAGACTAAGATTGCAAATACAAGCCATCGCCATAACCTTGTAGTTTGTCCACTAGACTATCAACCACTTATTGGGAAAATGTAATATACTGACCCACTATCTAGAAGTTCCAGTGAGATTGGAGACCTGAACGCATTGGTTAAAAATGATCTGAAGGAAATCAAATGTAGTTCCCAGACTACGACAAGTGCAACCTACACAGTGATTACGTTGCGAAATTGTTGATATACCAGGACTAGTATGATTTCACAAAACATCGATACTTAGAGACACTAAACTTTATTTTACCTTCTATCGCTGGAAGTTAATTTCTTATTACTATTGATTAGGGAATGGGTTAACATCAAAAATGTATAAGACCACAGTACACATAATATAAAACATTCGCTAACTTCGATTTAATATGCTATCGCAAAAGGACCTCAGAAAAGCTAGGCAGAAACTCACTTTTTAGCTGCTGGTTCATAAATGTACACAGCTCCTTAGGTATCCACAACTCATTTATTGTCTATCAAAACGAGTTAGTGGAAACGCCTAAGACCAACTAGAAGGGTGGTCAAACCAAACCAGACAGCAAAATCATACAGGTATAAACCAGTCCAGGTTTCGAAACTACTCAAAAAAGAACACAGGAGAAATGTGAGTAAGATCAAGTTAGTGACGACCAGAATACGTGAGCCGCATCATCACAACTGCGACCGAATCATGTAGAGAATATATGAGACCTTGCGCCACTAACGAGTGATACGCCTCACAAATGCATCTAAAGCGAGATGAAACGTTGGTTAAAATCATGAAATAATACCATGACAGTTAAGAAATTACAGTTAATTCATGAGCAGAATGGCAGATAGTCGCATCCCACCTCGTGACTTAGTTCGAGAACCACACACTGAGAAGCACTAGTGTTTGATTATGACCATTCTCAAGTTCTTCCAACTTAATCCCACTTCAACCGACAGTCTTAACACAAAGTGGAAGTAATCTATGGAGGCACTGTTGGTCTGAAACTTACAGAGAAGACTAACTGACCTATCTGACACCGTGCCAATTTCCGCTGGTCCTCTTAGTTCGAAGATATCGATAAGCCAATCAGTTCGGGAATCTACATGGTTGAAGTCAAGATATGCGCACACTACGTCTGCACCTTAATCAAAGTTTCACGACGTCTAATATGAACTTTTATTTTACCCTTAAGCAGGTGTACTAAGACAGCAAAAAATAATTCATTCTTACTATAAATGGCCTGAAAGTGAAGTGTGAATTTGCCGGTTCCATGGTAAGAACCCATTTTATTGGTAATCACCCGATATACAGAACACATTAAAAAGATATACACTACTGAAGAATTATATACATAAGTCGATACTAAGGTTCTTATTTTGATAGCTGGAGACTTCACCTCTAAAGATCAACACCATGCGAAAAATCCAATTGTTTGGTTAATAAATACAGAATCTGATTCATTTAAGCTGGGCTAATTGTAGACAGAATTACTGTTATTTCTCAGATGACCCACACCTTTCTACAAAATTACCAAGGTAGTAAGATATGCCAGACAAAATGTAACGTTTACCTTTGATCCATATCACTGATTAAGTTTGCATTTATATCAAGGTATGTATGTCTGTGAAAGACCTAATTAGAAGCACTGTTTTCCATTTCTTGTTTTAGTACCACCCAGTCGAACAGAAATGGGTGATGAGTGATTATATAATGGTTGATATGGCCAGGTGAGGTAAACATGGTATTATAATGGGCAAAAAACCACTATGATACGGCAGATGGTTAGAATGACTAAATTTTGGTAGAGAAGAATTCGGCTAAGTAATGTTCAAGATGGGGCAATGATCCAAATGGTAATAATCTTGTCACACAATCAAAATCCGCCCATTTCTTCACTATGATCTATGCCCATTATTCACCCGCTTTTGCCCCACTGGTCAAAATGTACCAAAGTTCTTTACTTTTTTAACAGTCTCCAGTCATCTCTCATCCCGGTGATGCACAGACTATTCACATCTAAATTTCTGCAATCGTTGGACAATACACACGTTACAGTTAAAGAACCATGAAGTATTTGGAGTAGCGACATATCTGCTCCTCCGAAAACTCAGATTATGACGTAAGCCAAACTCAAACAACCCATTGATTCAAATTATTATACTAATTCCATGCAGAAGCAAAAGACTGAGTAACATAAGTTTGCACCACGCCAAATCAACATTTCTGCTCTTACCGAGCGGAATCCTCCATCTTTAAAATGAGCACAATGACAGTCAGGAACACACTAAAACAAACTTTCTGATTTCTGATTTTCCGGATTTTCGGTTGGGTATAGAAGACTTCAGGTCTATTCAGACTTCATCTTATCCTTTTTTGATGGGTTAAATAAGGTCAGAGCAACCACTTTTTCTCGAAGTTGGTCCCAAGTTTTATACTTATATTAATAACTCGGTTGGAGAACCAGTACTTGAAGGAGATATAATTCCTCCTTAGCTTTTTAAGTCTCTTGTTATACTTTCAAAGTAATTGCGACTGCAAAGAAAGGAAAAGAGGGGATAGATCATGTTCATAGTCAACCCCTTCCGTCTCTATGTTATGTTACTCAGGAAAGCCTTTTAACTGTTAGATCGTTCCTGATATGATAAGTGGGTCACACCGGGAATTGTTCGTGTAGCCTTTCCCCAAACTCTTTATAAAACATATTCGTTCTCTCTTGGGCAGATTTTGGCTGTCAGCAAGCATATTTCTAGTTCCGACCTATCCATAGATGTGTCCAGAATCATGAGCACTTCACTAGAGACGCTGGTGAGTGTCCTGTGTGTTAACCATAAGGACTTTGGGTTGAAGGAGGCCACAGTGCAGCAGTGGGCTATAGTTTGAGTCTAGGGGCTAAATCTAACACTCATATCCCTGAGTCTGAACTGAATTACCAGATATTCCCGTATGTAGTAGGTGTTGACACATGTGTAGTGTACATTGTACCTTCGAACTTTTGTTTGAATGAACTCAGCCTGACCTTTAACCTACTTCCACTTTGTATTCCTGAACCTCCTGTACGGTTTCGGTTTCGCTCTCTCACTGTGCTTTCACCTAGCGCACTCTCTGAGCTTACCGCCGTCTCACCTGCAGATAAGTGTGTACCTCTTATTTCTTATCAAATTCTATATCTCTTTTGTGTAAATACAATTTTGTTCCAGTCACACTTGTCATCTCAAGTCTTTTAACCTTGATTCCGTTTGTTAGTACTTGCACGTTAGGCAGAGTACTATTAAGGCCATAAGCGGTGAAGAAGTTTTGTAAGAGTGGTTACTTTTAGGTCGAAGTTAATCCAAGTCCAACTCTTACAAGTGGTGAGCCCGAGTTTTCACCGTTTGCCTACTTAGTAGCCCGAAGTGTAAATAGTCCTTTTTCATATTGGCAATATGTTTGTCACACAGAGTTATAGAATTTTACTTGCCTTGTTTTTACTCGTACTTTTTTTTGTCATCATATTTGTTATCATTTTATTAATATATCGTCCCATGTGCAAAATGACTGACACCAGTTCCGCCTCAGAAATGGCTATTACCTTGCAACTCCCCACCTTCTGGACTCATCATCCTGTTCCATGGTTCGACCACATCGAAGCTATGTTCGCCCTACGAAATATACACCCACAAGAGACTAAGGTGAACCCGGTTATCGTAAGTCTTCCTGAGAACGTCATGGAAGAAGTATCTGATGTCCTCGCGGACCGATCCCCAGGCTTGTACGAGCGTCTCAAGCAGGCGCTTATTAAGCGCGTTGCACTTAGTGACCAACAGAAAGTGCAGGAACTATTCAGAGATGTTCAGCTAGGTGATAGAAAGCCCACCCAACTGTTACGTCAAATGAGACAGTTGGTGGCTGACTTCGAAATAGACGACGCCTTCTTAAAACAGCTGTGGTTACAACGATTACCGCAGACGATTCAGACAATTTTAACTCCAATCAACCATTCCCCCTTATCTGAACTAGCTGAAGCAGCCGATAGAGTAGTAGAGACTACTACATCCAACACGAACATTTCGGCTGCCGTTACCGCTAGTCCCAAGTAGACTAAGAACTCCTCTGCCGAGGGGTCATCAAACTTAGATGTGGTGGCCCACATAACTACGCTATATGAGGAGATATGTAAGTTAAGACTCGATATGAGACCTAGAGGTCGCTCAAGTAGCCGCACCAGCTCGACTCGTGGTAGATCTTCTTCACGAGCTGGCAGCAGACGTCGTAGGCCTCAAAATTCCCAACGTGGAGTGTGCTAGGATCACCGGCGTTATGGTGATAAGGCCCAAAAGTGCACTCGCCCGTGCACCTTTGATGGCCAGCAATCGGGAAACCAGTAAGCCAGCACGTATTGGCGACTAACGTCGCTGGCGAACCACTCCCATGTCGCCTCTTCTATGTTACAGACCGTAACACTGGGACACGCTTCCTGGTTGACACTGGAGCGGAAGTTAGCGTGATTCCACCAACATCTGAAGAGCGCCAGCGGCCACTTTCCTTACAGCTTCGCGCCGCAAACGGTTCGGCAATCACAACGTACGGTAAAAGGTTCCTGGATCTTAACATAGGCCTACGTAGGTCATTTCGCTGGGTTTTCCTTGTGACAGATGTAACTACCGGTATTATTGGCATGGATCTCATGCAACACTATCAGCTACTGGTTGATACTGGCAAACACAAATTGATCGATTCAGCTACAAACCTCTCGATCTCCGGTGTTGTGACGCACACACCTGCATTAAGCCCAGTATATTCAACCCCTGTCTCTAACGGCCCTTAGGCTGAATTTCTTCAGTCCTTTGCCAACCTGTTCAAACCGGTTTCTAAACTTCCTTGTGTGACTTCTACTGTCACTCATCATATCGTGACCACTGGTCCACCAGTATTTGCAAAGCCACGGCAATTGTCCCCAGAAAAACTACAAGCCGTGAAGGCTGAATTCGAACATGTGTTAGATATGGGGATAATCCGTCCTTCCAGCAGCCCGTGGTCTTCCCCTTTACATGTGGTACCAAAGAATAACGGGATAGATTGGAGGCCTTGTGGTGACTACCGCAGGCTTAATGCACAGACCGTGCCAGATCGCTACCCCGTACCACATATACATGACCTTACGTCGTCACTAAAGGGTGCCACGGTATTCAGCAAACTGGACTTAACCAGAGCCTATCATCAGATTCCAGTTCACCCAGACGATATTCCTAAAACGGCAGTGATCACCCCTTTTGGTCTTTTCGAATTCCTTCGAATGCCGTTCGGTCTCCGCAACGCCGCACAAACATTCCGGCGATTTATTCACGATGTTTTGCGCGGATTGGATTGCGCATATGCTTATCTCGACGATATTCTCGTGGCTAGCCTAGATGAAGCTACCCACCGTACGCATCTACAGATGGTTTTTGAGCGGTTAACAACCCATGGTTTGACACTTAACATGTCTAAATGCCAGATTGGCGTCCATTCATTGACCTTCCTGGGACATGTCATTAATGAACAAGGAATTCGCCCGCTACCTGAGAAGGTGCAGGCAATACGCGACTTCCCGGAACCTACGTCAATAAAATCTTTGCGCACATTTCTAGGCATGGTGAGTTATTACCGGCGGTGCACTTCGGATTGTGAGGGCGATTGTTACTTCCCGGCTGCCCACACCGTGGAAGTTGGTTGCGTGACCGCAGAGCCCAGGGGACAACTGCTTGAGGCCGGTCACACACGGCCTGTTTGTTGTTTTTCATTTGGTGTGTCTCAGTAGCATATTTATCACTTCTGCCCTGTGACATGGCAGCAGAAAGCGCGGTCGTTGTTAATCCGGGCCCCGACCGATCCGGCATGATATTTTGTGATTTGTTTGAAGTCATAGGATTGGATTGGGTAACTGCTTTTAGTCTAACCACTATCCAAACAACCTTTCTGGCATGGTAGGACCTGCAGGAACATAAGTTCCAGCCAGTATAGCTTGTTGGGTCATTGCGGTGTTCAAGCCCGACCACCACGTCAAGGTAGCAGCTTTCCATCGACGGTTTGTTCCTCAATGTGCACATATTTTACAGGCACTCACAGATCTACTAAAGAGTAAGAGCAAAACGTTCAGCATGACACCAGAGGCTCGAGAAGCGTTCCAGAATATTAAGTCGGCAATTGCAGACGCCACCATGCTAGTTCACCTAGACGTCCATCTTCCGCTCAGCATCTCAGTTGATGCATCTAACACAGCCATTGGAGCTGTTCTACAGCAACTGGTACATACTTTATGGATACCAGTCGCCTTTTTCTCTCGGAAGTTGTCCGCCGCTGAAGCGAAATATAGCACCTTTGGCAGAGAACTCCTCGCCATATACGCGGCCATCAAACATTTTCGAAGGTCGGAAATTCATAGTATTTACCGATCACGAGCCCCTGACGTACGCCCTCCACACTACTACAGATAGATATTCTCCACGCGAATTGCGTCACTTGGACTATATCTCACAATTCACTTCCGACTTTCGACATATTTCGGGGGTTGACAATGCTATGGCGGACGCCTTGTCTAGGATATGTACCATGTCGGCGCCGCCAACCATTGACCTGAAACAAATGGCACAACGTCAGCTTACAGAGTTAGATCTCGATAAGCTCTCGTTAAATACCTCCTTGCATATCAAGCGTATACCGCATGTTAATAGCGAGGGTACCATCCTCTGCGATCTGTCCACCGGTACCCCGAGTCCCATCGTTCCACCTTCATTGCGCCGTACGGTATTCGATAGGCTCCACAACCTTTCCCACCCCGGTATCCGGACAACGGACAAACTAGTGTCAGCTAGATTTGTCTGGCCTGGTATAAATCGCGACGTGCGTATCTGGGCACGTGCCTGTGTGCCGTGCCAACGAGCTAAAGTCCACAAACACAACATCACTCCAGTGGGTTCCTTCTCCACACCCTATGCTCGCTTTAGTCACGTACATCTAGATATAGTGGGTCCTCTACCACCATCAAATGGCCACTGTTACTTGTTGACATGTGTCGACCGGTTCACTCGTTGGCCAGAAGCTATTCCCATCTCCGACACGACCGCGGAAACCATTTGCCGAGTGTTCACGGGACGCTGGGTAGCTCAATTCGGATGCCCATCTTCGGTGACTACAGACCGTGGACAACAGTTTGAATCAACCCACTTCAAGAAGCTCTTAGAGCTGCTAGGGTGCAAACGCATCCGAACAACCGCGTGCCATCCAGCAGCAAATGGAC